AATTTTATTTATAAAAATATACAGAAAATATGTCATTAACAGTGATTTGTTGTATATTTTTTAAAATTTGTTTATTTCATATCGGAACGCTGTGAGATGCTTTAATATTCTTTGCTTTAATTTTCTGTTTCCCAAAGAGAGGTTTATATAAACAACTATGTTGACCGCACATAACCTTTTGTACTGGAACTTTCTACTGAAACCTAATGTCAATGCTGCAATATTAAAATAAAATGTTATACTGGTCATCTTCAGATGCATTGCATTTTTTTTCTGTAATTTTACCCTGAAATTCATTATGATTGAAAAATATGACAAAATTCCTGAGACATATAATAAGTACAAAAAGCATAAAAACTTGCACAGCTTCCATTTGTAGCAAGGTATATTAGCATAATGGTTTTATCTTATCAGAAATCCTACTATTTGTTATTGGTAGGTTTCATCAGTACGGTAAATCAATTATTTGCTTCAGTCAGCGATTTCCGACCACATCACCCAATTCTCTGATAATTCATACTCTGCTGATTTTGATGCCATTTTTTATATACTGTCAATTACTGATTGTGTCCATTGAATATTTAACCTTCACAGATTTTGGAAATCACAAAGATTCTAGGTTAATGCATTTTAGCTACTTTGTGCCTGATTGGCTGCTCAGCCCAACACCTCACAGTTTGACCAATCAAAGAACAGCTTTGTATTGTAACATTTTTTTCTTGCATACATACATATTTTGCTATATATAAATATGATGATATTGTCACAAACTGATTGAAATTAGTCCTGAAAAATGATTAAAAGTTGAAAGTTTGAATCAAGGGGACTATTTATTACCATTTTTATTTCAATTGAATAGTTATATAGATAATTAAAAACTTTTTTTCCCCATAAAGAAGTTTTACATATCTACTTTGGCATTTAAAATGAAATAAAAATAGAAACAACATATAATATAAAGTGTGGCTGAGGTATATATGCATTTTTATATTATGTATATTTCAAAGAATTCACTGACAATGTAAATCTTGCATCTTTGATTCTTCTACTCACTGCATTTGGTTCTAAGTGGAGGTTCCTTACTTGATCCAAGAGCAAATATTTGCAGAGTCTCTCTATCCTTCCCTGCCATTGGTGATTTTGGAGTTAGTTCATGTCCTTTCTGTTATATTCAAACTGTGTGACAAGGTATTACTTGTTATGAAACATGTAAGTTTATTGTGTCTAAAAAAAAAAATATGGACGACTTACTGAGACAGGGCATCCAGGGGTTGGTACGGAGATTTTATGGTCATGTGCAAGTTAGTCAAATACATTACAGACTACAGTGGTGTGGTAACAGCTCATTCCCATTAGGTAGGTTGTTTGCTTCTTATAGCTGTCACAATCAGAGATTACCACCATATGGTTATACTCTTTATTCCATTATTTTGTTTACTTTTAGTTCACATCTGAAATATATGATTGAATAGTGTGATTTATAAGCAAGATTCAGATTTATCTTGATCCTCATCTTTGATGGTCTGCTATCGGATGATTGCACGTCTGCTCTGTAATCTTCCTGTACAAATGTTTTCAAGTGGTCTGAGTCGTGTTCTGGGTGTAACTATGAAAGCATTTTTTTTTTAACTTTTAAGGTGAATGGTCATGTCTTACGAGTGGAGACAGCATCTCATTCACTGATTGATCTCTTTCCATTGATGCAATGCGTGTCTGAGGTTGCAGGAAGTGTTTATTTTGATTACTACTTTTGTTGAGGTTATTCACCTTCCAGTTGATCTAACCTACACATGGGGGAGTGAATGCGTGGCAATTGGAGTAAATTGAAGTGGTCAATTACAAGGTAGCCTTCTTTACTCTACATGTACAAGTCTATCTATTCTGTTCCCTGTTAACAGTAGCTGTGTTGTTGCAATTATGTGCATGCAACTATTCATCCAGGTCTAGTCCTTTAACCCTTAACCAGTCATGTCATAGTAAAAGTACATGGGGCTGGCAGGATAAGGTCTGAATTACTAATGAATATGTAAACCTTGTTTGTTACTAAACATACATTAGTAATGCATATAAGACT